AATGCAGGCTTTTTGGCTAGTTTTTATTATAGATGCTGTACTCAGTATTCAAATTTTGTATACCTCAAAACAAAAACACTGGAATAATAGAGATTTTTTGATATATTTTCCAGTACATTAGAACCTTCTTGCTATGCTAAGAGCTTCTTCGCACAAGCTGTTATAAGCCTGAACAATGCACTTTGAACTTCATATTTTGGCTCCTTAATCTTTGTAGCTTGTTTATTTCAGTGAAATATATCACCAGTAATGACTGTCTATTGTTGGTTGGTTGAGGTCTCATAGTGCACTTCGAGCTTTTTGCATGTTTTTCCAATGTTACTTCAAATATATAATAATATATATATATATATATATATATCCATGTGTTTATGCCATGTGTTTACTGTCAGCAAAACATTACATCATCAACCAATCAAAAAATGTAGCTATGAAGCGTCAACATTTTTTATGTTTAATTTTGTTGGCTTAATTTAATCACTTAAATTGAAGCAACACTAAGCAACATTCATAATTCATAACAACATCAGATTTTATTGTGGTTTACATTGTGTCTTCTAATTATGAAATCGGTGGTGGAGTTTTCATCTTTTTTCAAACCACTCATCTGTCAGTGTCTACATCGGTGCACAAATTACATTATTAGCCAGCGTTTTTTCTGTTTAGTATTTTCAGTTCCTCTTTTCACAAAATACCCAGAATTTATAAAAAAGCCTTTTCCTTCCACTAGGTGTTGCTATGTCCCTGATTATTTTATACATAGGGCCTTGAATTCGCTGAACCACTGCACTTTTGGGCCTTGACAAAATTACACACAATCACCTAAATAAGTTTTCAGTCCATAAAAAACAATAGTAGAGAATGAATAATAAAGCTTTAGAGATAACAAAAATGTGAATACAAATGAAGCTTTGTGTGGGCTTGCAAATGCCTGACGCTGGAGGTGAGCATCTATCAAAGCGTGTCAGCAAAGGTCATCAGCGCGGTTCATCCTGATAATATGAAATAAAAAATGGGTCTTGCTCTGTCACAGCGTGGGAGGGGCCAGTGGGGGGAGCTCTCGACTTTGTGTTTGACCTTTCTGTGGAAGTAAAGCTAATCCGTGAATATAATAGACTGTAAGATATGGAGAAATGGCTGGGGCTTTATCTGAGTTGCCCTGGAGACCATCAGCGGCGCTCGCTCAGGGCTGCTGCAGTTATTAACCATCACGTTTGGGCGGATTGGAGGGACAAAACTTTAACATTTACAGACAGACTACCCATACTGATCAGCTTGGACTCTTCATGTTGCAGGAAATATGGGTTTTGACGTAGGGTTATTATAGTGCTAATAGGAGTTAAGAATAGGACATAATAAGGAACAAAGGCATATGTAATTTTTATTGCATAGTTTTAGTTTATTAATGAAAGGATACTTACAGAACACTGTGGAGTTAACTCGTTTCAGGAGGCCTTTTCCCAAGACTGTAGTAACATGTGCCTCGCTTTGTTTTATTAAACCTGCAAAAAGGTCAAAATAAGTTAGACTTGCAAAATCAAGTGGCAGAAATCAGCAAAAAGCAAGATGTATATATTGTACAGTCTGGTCTCCATGAAAAGAAGAGAAGAGAAGAAGCAGTTTATAAGATGAAAAGGGTTGGAGATAATATCCTCAATTTTGTCAGACTGTATAATTTAAAAAAAATAAAAATATGAAAAACTAACTATTGAACATATTCTGAATTAATAAATTAATTCCAAAGCCTATACTGGCATCACTGGTCCAACAAAGTAGTATAATAGTATATAATACAAACAATGTACACTATTATTATTACAGGCCAGCAACAGATTTTGCACATGTTTAGCCCTAACCTAAAGTTTTATTTATTTTAAATGAAAATACTTATTTGGAATCTGCCTTTAACTTCTGATTGAAAAGAAGTTTTGTCCAAGCCTGATCCAAAATGACCATGGTCTTATTGTTATAGTTCAGGCCTGTTGAGTTTGGGCACATATTTATTTCCCACATTCGCAGATGCTGGGACAGATTAGATTCAACATTATATTACTGTCCCTTGGTGCAAGGCGCTGCATATTTAACTCTTACACTGCCAAATCCGACATAAAAGAAATAAGATGCGTGATAGCGCCACAAAGCAGCGGAACCTCAGATGGGCCTGGCTGATAACCCACATAATGGAGAAGTGTGCCGCGCTCCGCTGTCTAAACACGCGCAATAAAGACTTTGCACGCGCACATTTCACTTGTAAATAAAAAGCTAAAAGCAGCTTTAAACCCCGCGTCTGCAGACAGCACCCCTCTCTCTCCTCCGTCTATCAATCTATCTATCTTTCAATCAGTGCCAGATCTGCGCCCGTAAATGATGCATGCCTCGCATTAGATGTATTTGTTGAGGGAGTTTGAAAAGGCGGCGATAATCTGGGAGGCAGAGATAAGGGATGCCATTTATTCAGCGCGACTTCGGAGCCTATTTCCCGGGCCGATCAGCGCCCATTCTCCGCGACACCTCCAGCAGCTCGCTGATAACGATTAGGCTATTTATTATCTTCACAAAGAACAAAGATTAGCCAGCGCCGATGAAAAATTACCCCGGGATGCCTTATAATCACGGGGACCACGGATCCAGCATTGGATTTCTCTCCTTTTTCTAGTTTCAATCTGGCAGCGCGAGGAACGTCAATAATGGCTCACGAGCTCACTGGAATAAGAAGAGTGCAATGTTTATAAACAACAACGACCTAATAACAGTGCAAATAATAATAATAATAATAATAATAATAATAATAATAATAATAATAATAATAATAATAATAATAATAATAGCGAAATTATATAAATAGATTTTATTGTGAAGGCTGTTAAATTTAGTTTATAATAATCATTTCTTACGTAAGGTCCATGGTAGACATTGGGATGCGACCTGGTCTTTCCACAGGACTCGTGTGAGAAAAGAGCAGTAGAAAAGGCGGATTGAATTAATGTCAGATCCTGAAATGGCAGTGGATGTTCGGGGCCGATAAGGTTTTTATCGCCACGCCACATCAAAAGGGCTCACTCTCAAAGCGCGCGTGTTACACCATTATAATGCAGATGAGCGCTAATGCTGCGACACTTGTCCCTACACGCGCACGCTACTATAGGCTTATGGCTAACGTTTGGGAAACGTAGTTTGGACTGGTGATGTTTAGGTTTGATTTTAAAAAAATGGTTGTAGGGCTAAAAATTGGACCAAAGCCTTCATGAACGGTTACAACTATAACAACAATAGACAAATCGTAATCAAATCGAAATCGCAATTTGAGTAGACGTAATTATCAAATCGCATAGGCTACAATTATTTAGATATGTCTTCTGCCAACACGAAAATACCTTTCTATAGCAAGAATCGTGTATCTTGTTGTAGGCCTATCAGTAGTTTAGACCTCTACAAACCTGTATTCGTTAATCATAATTTAGTATTTTCTCAAATGTTTGTTTACAGTGTGTACTCTGAATAGAAATTTACTTTCCAAATTTGCCCTACTAATCGTCTAATAATTAGGTAATAGTTCAGTAATTTAGTAGGCTTTATACTTCAATGGTTGCAGTTTGTCCATGGAAACAGCGGTCGTGGCTTTACTTATATTATCATTAATAGTGCAGAGACACATGTGAGTAGTAGTAGGCCTAAATACCAGTCTCAGTGCTTCCTCGAGTTCATCCGCGAGACTGTAGACAGACCCGGGCACTTCTCTCCCTCCTCCTCTGCCCTCTCTCCGTCCGTCCCTCAGTCCTTCTGCCTAGGGAAAAGTTCATGTCCTCATTCATTTTTTTCTCTCTCTCTTTTTTTCTCCGTCAGGGCGCGCTGACGTCTGGAGCGGCGTCGGGCAGGCGGCACGGATGCACGCGCTCCTTTTCCAATTATTGTCTGTCAATCATGTGCGCGGGGCTGCAGTGACAGAGCCCAGGCTAAAAACACAGAAACACATTTGAACAAAGAGCATGAATAAAAGAGCGCCTTAATGTTAGACGAGTAATACAAAGAACAAGCGCGTGCCATTTGATGAAGTTTGATAAGACGCAGTCAGGGCACGTGACCCGCGTGCGCCACTTCAGCAGCCCCTTTATCCCAAAATGTCACATCAGTCAGTGGCAACGTGTGAAAAACTATTGGTGCCGTTTTCACTGCTTTCTCTAACTATGTAAACCATCTCTAAAGCACTTGTCAAAAGGATTAAAGTGACACAAAGGAATATTTTATCTGATCCACACACAAAAACTTTAATTGCCATATATTATACTGCTCGTAACATTATAAATACAAGTTGACTGCATCTAACTGTAGCAAAGAAAAATAGCTATAATTTAAAAAGTCACATGACAAATACTATGGCACGTGATAGTGCGTACAGCGTGTTGAAGTAGGCCGACATTTTCATTTTAGTGGACAATAATCTAACCAGGCTGAATTCTCACTATAAACACTACTTAAAGTTGCTCTCAAACACATTCCAACCTACACATGAACCAAAGTATCAAAATATAGGATTAGGACTATGTGTACAGCCAGTGATCTTTTGCAGAGGCGCGGTGCCATTGGTTGAGGCCAGGCCGAAGAGCAGGCTCCTCCCACGGGCTTGACAAGCGCCTGCCCCGCTGTCAGCTGAAGCCACAGCGCAGTTACGTGTTGCTTTAAGTCCCAGTGGACGGACAGGAGTTTGACAAACCACCACTGAGGAGCAAAGAGGACACACATCACCAGAAAGAGACACAGAAGAGGAGACAGGCTGCAGCGAACCGTGCGCATGTCACACGGATCCAAGGCAGGTTTTTGGTTCTTATTGGAGAGGATTTTTTTTCTGATTTTGTTTCGTGCAAGCGTATTGTTGCTCTATTTTGGTTGGGTTTGTTTGTATCACTTGATCTGGACTGTTAGGGACTCTTACTTACTAGAAAAAAGATAGTAGCTGTTGCCCCTTAAAATATTAATTTGATGTTTGCTTGTTTCAGGTTTCCAGTGACAGCCCCAAAGAAACGCACGGAATTTAACTTCGTCAGCAGAGCCTTAACTTCTCCGTTTCGTATATGGACACTTGCAAACGTCTTGTAAAACACACTGGACAAACTTAACTTCCTCACTGATTTGTGGATATCGCAAAGTTTACGATCATCTCCGGAGTCATGGATGTAGCAGAGCAGCCCCGATGGATGCACCACCCCGCCGTGTTGAATGGACAGCACCCGGACTCCCATCACCCGGGCCTGGGACACAACTACATGGATCCCTCGACCCCGCTGCTGCCTCCGGATGAGGTGGATGTTTTCTTTAACCACCTGGACTCACAAGGAAACCCGTACTATCACAACTCTCGGGCCCGCATGTCCTACAGCCCTGCGCACGGTAAGAGCCAGAGGGGATGTGGAGAAGTGGACCGAAGCAGTGTTTATGTCGTTTTTATTCTACATATAAGGATTTTATAACAATATCTAATCTACAAATGTGTGTTTGTCAGCTAAGATCAAAGTATGTGTGTCTGGATTGGCTAGTTAAAAGAAATATGAATGTAAAGTAGACTACTATATTGACATAAGCGCGCAAAGAGACCCCAGGCTAATCCTCAATATTTGATTGTATTTTTAGCTAAGTAAATTTCAGTTTTATATTAACCATGGCTGGATTTATGTCTAATAAAAACAGTAAAATTGCTGTGCATGGAAAATGTGCAAAAATGTGTAAAGATACCATGGAAAAATATGATCCACGTTGTTCAAAATAGCCTCAAGCTAGGTTTAAAAAAAAATAATACTTCGGCTAATGTTTACTTGGTTTAAGCTAACAAACAACTTAAATTTATTGCTGTTAAACTGCAATAACGTTGCTGTAAAAATGTGAGTTTGTTTTTTGTACTTTAAAATGACTATATTGTGTGTGACAAATGCACATAGGTTAAATCCATGCGTTATGTTTGCATAAAAAAAAAGCTAACTCACGTGTTTTACCGTGACAGCTCGCCTTACGGGTGGCCAGGTTTGCCGACCCCATCTCCTCCACAGCCCGGGGATTTCGTGGCTGGACGGGGGCAAAGCAGCTCTCTCAGCCCACCACCCCCACAATCCCTGGGCCGTGAGTCCGTTCAGTAAACCCAGTCTGCACAATCCAGCGACCTCCGCATCCCCCGGGGGCCTCTCGGCGGTCTACCCGTGCAGCAGCAACTCCAACTCGGTCTCAGCGCCGTCCCTCACCCCGCCGTCTCTGTACACCTTCCCCCCGACGCCACCCAAAGACGTGTCTCCGGACCCTGGAGCCACCTCTCCCTCCTCGTCCGCGGCCAGGATGGATGAGAAAGAGCCGCTGAAGTACCACATGGAAGGAAGCATGAAGGTGGAAAGCTCCGGGTCTCTGCGGGCGCACCAGCACATACCCACGTACCCGCCCTACTCTCTCTCTACGCCCGACTACGGCAGCCTGTTCAATGCGGGGAACCTCCTCGGAGCATCGTTCACGAGCAAAAACAAGAGCAAAACACGCTCCTGCACCGGTAAGTCTCACTATCGAAAGATGTGCAACTAATCGAATTTGTGATATCAGTTATTGCTGTATTCAATTACAAAAAAAATCTGTAGTCGAAAATGCAATTAATTGAAACAATACAATGAATTACCTTATGTTCAGAATGATATGTTCTGCACCTCAAACCACTTTTGTAATCTACAGTCTTTTATCTCTTAAGACGAGTGTCTCAAAACATACTAGTAAAATACACTAGGTCTATACATTCTCCACAGGTACATTTTGACAGTAGGCCTGCTAATAATTGTGATTCAGTTAATTCCTTTTTGACATAATCAAGCAGCTTTATCTGTATGTTTGTGGTAAATTTGTGATTTCAAATAGAACCATATTTTAAATTACATGAACATATATTTCATTGTGACTTAAAATAATCTGATCGTCATTATTGTTGAGGCTGAGAAGTTATTCTGATAAGATTGCTAATTAATAAAAGGTTTAAAAGCCACAAAGGATTAACACCCTAAATTTTGTTGATTTCTTGACACTTACTTATTACAAAACATAATATGCACGCATTGTATTTACTTGAACCAATGAAGAAAATAAAAGCCTATTTAAACATATCTGCCAAAAGCCAAAAATACACACTAAAAGTCAGATATTTAAAATAGTAATAGCGTGTCTAATTCAACGCTGCTATGATAACAATATTACCCTAATGCATTTTTTATTCTGTGTAGGGCCTCAGTGACAGACATTTTTCTAATCCTCTTTTGTTCGGCATGACTGTGTAATTAGGGCTGTAGAATGGAGCTCTGGACTGGGACCAGAGAGTGTGAAAGGAAGATCCCAGCACTCAGAGCCAAAACCTCAGTATTTAGGCCTGGGTTGGCTCCTCTGTTACACTCGGCATTAATACGTGTCCTGATTGGTTATTTGATTACACTACACAAGATTTAGGCCTTTTAACTGGATTGAGATTGTGACACTGATAAGAGATATAGGCTAAATGAGGGAGAGTATGTCATATCTTATGCAATAAAGACACACTCATAAGAATAAACTGCAATTATATTTTAATGCTTTACCAGTTAAGACATGTTTAATAGCTTGTCATGGTTTAGTCCTCTGTATTTTGTCTATTCATGGGGTGAAGAGCAAGAGGACTTTTTCCCAATTGAAAAGAAAATATTTAGTTTTTAATGGTTAATCACTATGGCAGTAGGCATAATTTCTCATCATTCTGTAACCCATGGATTCATCTTACATTTAGCAAATAACAGTTTTTTTGTTTTTCTTAAAATTTGAAATGTTGTTTTAAATTTTAAGAGTTACTCGTGGTTGATGGTTTAGTTTAGAGGTGGCCAGTTTAAGATATTTTGTAAAACTTATATATAGCCTATATTTTTCTAATCTTGCATGACCATCTTTGTCTTGTCATATTGTTCTTGTCTTCTTTTAAGTCATTTATAAAAGAGAGGTTTTCTTCCTTTTTTCCAGTCTCACGTATCAGTCCGCTATTTTAAAGGTGCAATCTGACACTACCTCTAAAATCTTCACTTTGTGTCCTTACTTCAGTGTTGACACATCATTCCTTGTTCACTTAAACACATTCATTCTTTTGTAATGGCCGTAACAAAACAAACTTACAAACTAGAGTACTACTAACATAATGCTTGTCACCTTTGTATACTTTGATCAAAATACTATATCCTCCTCTTGTATAGAATTTCTTATTTACATTTTCTCAGTTAATTATGAATGTTTGTGATTGTGAAGGTTATTTAAAAGTGAAACTGTAATATTTAAACTGTTATTGAAAATCATTATGTAAAAATGCTTGAATATCCATGGGTTTTTCAATTGATCAAATGTTAGATAATGTTGGGACTTTTTTCAATAAATTAATAAATCTACATTTTTAGTCCAATATGGCGTCCAGAACTAGAAGATTCCCCACTAACCCTTGAATGTTCTTTCATATTTATTAATATCTGTTTATATACTCTTTAATATTACAACAAATGTGACATCAGTGTTCTCAATAGACACAAATACAACAAGGCCTAAAGTGTCACTCACTAAAACAAAAGACAGTTATTAAAACCCATATTATTAAGCGGAAAGCTATCTATAAATCTGTCAATAATGGCATATATGTAAGCTGTTAGCCTATAACCTGGTGTTATGGTTTTGCTTTTCCTTTTGGTTTCAGAGGGACGCGAGTGTGTGAACTGTGGAGCCACTTCGACCCCGCTGTGGAGGAGAGACAGCACGGGACACTACCTTTGTAATGCCTGCGGACTTTACCACAAAATGAACGGCCAAAACAGACCCCTCATCAAACCCAAGCGCAGACTGGTGAGTGCAACAGCTACAGCTGATTTTGAGAGCTTGTAGTGCACACATGGAAGAATATTGCACAGATAAATTGCCTGTTTTTACTTCTTTGTCTTTCTGTTGCATTCCCATTTGCACACACTTCATCCAAACTGGGACAAAACCAGGATGAGCAGGACTGAAGCAAGTCTACATCAGAGCTAATCTGGACTGTAAACTTGAATATTCAACTCAGAGCTTTATAGTCCATATGATGATAATGATAATTAATTAAATGTATACTTAATTCTCACAAAGATATAGTGTTATATAGTGATATTCATAGTAATTCAGTGTTGCCTTTACAAAGCTGGATTGAAATGGCTTCATCTTGGAAATCAGTCCATCTGATCAACAGTGAATATGCGTATAAATACTATGTAATGTGAAATGTCTGCAAAGAGCAGACCTTTTTTTTTTATTTTATGGCCAACATTTCTTAAAAGCAGAGAGTGATTAGAGCCAAACAAACAGAAAACCATAGTAGTAAATAAAATGGAGTTAGTGACTGAGGACTGCAGATACAATCTCAGGAAACATATATTTTCTCAATCAGTTTCCAGGAATTGTCATTGGCCGCTCACCTCTGACTCCTTACGCTCAGGCTGCTAGCCAAGTGCTGCCTGTGTTATCATTATTAGCACTACCTCTGATGGTGTCAATGATAGGGCCACTATAGCCACACACCATCCCTCAATAGAAAATATGTCTTTCTCCACTGCAATGGCCATAAAGGTTGTGCTTCAGGTAACATGGATGATTCAGTTGAATTACTAATTAAATTTTAAATGCATCAAATAATTAAATAAATCTATATAGTTAAGCATCCACACAAATGTGAATAATATTTTATTAAAGCCTACTGTGGAAGTTTCTCACACTTTTGATCTTAATTTGCCATGTTATAGCCATATAACAAAAGCAAATCTACTTAACACTAGTTTTAATTGTTTACCACACTGTCGTTAAACTTCAAAGCTCTTTGGAAATTATTAATGATAAATGGACTTGAAAGTAGCAAAAAAAAAAAAAAAAGAAAGAAAGAAAGAAAAAGAAAAAAAAGGGCTGTCATTGTTCGTAAATCAACGTAACTAATATGATTTGGGGAGAATTACGCGAGGCTTTCTAGCCAATGAAACCGTTCCTTTAATATTCGCTTGCGTTTGTGCGTGAGTAGCTTCCTCAATACCTTCCTAAATACCTACCTTTGTGTTCGTGTGAAAACGTAAGCTCGCGTAGCAGCGTTTGGAGTCGTGAATCAGGCGGAGTTTCCGTGCGCCTCGCCCGGGCTCGCTGCGCTTTCGTCCCGTGCGTCTGGAGCTCGGTGGCTGCAGTAGTTTCCTCTCCGGATATCTGACCCGTCCAGATAAACGACCTGGGGCTGCACTGCTTCCTCTGCGGCCTCCCCGATACAAGCTCCGGGCTCAGCTGTGGTGGCCAGGCGCTCCAGACGCGGCTAATGTCCAGATGGGAAAGTTTGACATACGCAGGGAGCACACAGCGATAATGAGACTAGAAAATAGAAGCGTTTTTATTTGGTAAAAAAAATCTTGGACTATTGAACTACTGGAGGCTATACGTTATATGTAGCCTAAAATAAAATATATATTATTGAACAAAAGGGAAAAAAAATGTGGTTGTAAAATATCTGATGGGGTGCAAGAAGTGTCATGGGATGTGTAACCAAAATATAGACTTTTCAAAAGCTATTACCAAGATAAAATGAAAAATAACTGCTAAATCAATATTAATAGCCTATTGTTGGAATTGTGATGGAGTGTTTTGTGACCCACTGATAAAATCATACGGTATTTACACCAAATTGTGTGAATAGCATTTTCCCCTATGTCACGAGCACAGCCTGGCGTACAAGAGCTGTTAACCAATCAAATAATGACTCCCAACTAAACAAAATTAGCCTCAGCCTATGTATTTCTTGACTAAAGTATAAAAGCAAATGTAGACTTCGATTTAGCTGAAGTAGTGCAGCTAAATTGATGTAGCTGCAGTAACTGATGTATCTGAAACAAAGCAATTTTTTTGTTTTTTCACTCGCTTTTGCACTCACTTTTCATCAGCCGATCAGAGCAAATCATCTTACCTGTTTTTTCATTTCTCTGGGCTTGAGATTTGGGTAAAAGAATCAAATCATGACAGCATATTATTTTGATTAGATCATGATCATGTGATTCAGTCATTTTCTGATTAGTGCAGCACTCCGCTCAAACACACACTTTTCTTCACGCATTTCCCCTGTTGGTCAGCCTCTGTCATACTCTGAGTGAGTGACAGGTGGATTTAACCAATCAGTCATGTGTGAACACTCAGAAGAAGAAGAAAAATGTGATATAATTTTTCTGGAATACCTCCCACCTCTACTTGTGACTGCCACAGTGCTATGCCTCGCTGTATTTGCCTTCATGAATGCCTCTCTGTTCTCAGTCTGCGGCGCGGAGAGCAGGGACGTGTTGTGCAAACTGCCAGACGACCACCACCACGCTCTGGAGACGCAACGCCAACGGAGACCCTGTGTGCAACGCCTGTGGACTCTACTACAAATTGCACAACGTGAGTCCAGTTAGCAGTATGTTGAGCATGCTGCAATATCAACAAAATATGTTATCACATAGGATCGCAGATAGGAAAGATAGCAGGTTTCAGATAGCAATTTAAAGGTACACTGTGTAACTTTTGGTGGAAGGTCCCTCAACATCTCTCTATGGAGATGTAGCCTAGAATGTTCAACAGTATGGCATTGCACTTATTTATCTCTATGAGACACCAGGTGATGCCAGAGGGCCAAGATAAGACGTCAAGCCAGGTTGACGCCACCTAGTGCTTCCGCTCAATTTCAATTTCTCTCCAGTGACTAGGTCAGGAATCAGAATACACCAGACAGTTTTGTAAGAACCCCAGAAGTTGTAGACTGCACACCGACCAATCAGTGAAGAGCTGTGAAGTCATGACTGGGTCCCTTTTTGTGGTACAGCACAACATTAAACAAAGCGGTCAAGATGGATGTAGACAAAGCCATACATTTTGTGTTGGCAACAATTCCCGAGATCGAGGATTTAAAGTCGGAACAAAGAGAATGTTTGGTGAATTTTATCAAGGGGAAAGACGTTATTGCCCTTCTTTCACATTACACATTACATACGTCATGACCAAATAGCAGCGATTGGTTAAATAAAAAAGTACCTGCCTACTGTCAAGCGAACGAATCCCAATGCTGCGAGGTCAGACGGTTTCCACGAAGTGAAACAGGCTGATGAATCAGGCTAGTCAAGACGAGCCCTCTACCAGAAACGTTACACATTGCACCTTTAAAGAATCTGAGTTGGAAAAAGTTCTCAATGAACCCAGAGTATGACAGTAATCTCTTGACTATTTGAAAACTATGAATATGTAACACGGGCTGGATGAAAATACCTAAAATTATATAAGACTAACAGTATAAGTGACAATATAACAGTATAATGATTGGTCGCATTTATAATATTGCCCTGGGCTGGCTTTGATGGTAGCAATTAACTGCAATCTACTACAGTCTTCTTCCTGAGAGGAAAATTGGTAGCTTTAGCATGTGAACTAGACCAGGACTAAACCAAATCGAGAACAAGATCTAACGAAGCCCACAGATCATCAGGACTGAACTGGGACTAGTGAACAAAATATGGACTAGACCAGAACTAAGCCCAGACTAGAACTGGACCTAAACAAGAGTAGGGTTCATTTGGACTGAACTGCAACTTTACACGCAAGGAAAAGTTGACTATGAGGGCTAAACAAGGTCCAAACCAAGTCTACGGTACATCAGGACTATACTGGGATCAAATCAGGACCAAATCAGGAAGTATGCACTTGCCCTCTAACCTAAATTTTCACATATAACAACATCATACCATGGGATTTGTATATAGTCACTTCCCCATTAAAAACACAGGCTCACATACACATATACAGGCTTAGTGAGGGCAGGTTGGTCTGAGTGGCCACTCCATTGGCACATGGATGTTTTCTTTCTTATGGCCTTATTGTTTCTGAGCTGAGGTGAAATCCCCCTGTGGATCACAATGGTGGGACTGTGGCTCCATAAGAAAGAATAGCGCCCGAAAGTCTGCAGCAGTGGTGACAAACAGGAGAGCTGATGTAAAGTGGGCTATGGGAGACTTTTATTTATGCGTGTATTATTGCAAGTTAAGGGTGGTACTGGGTAATGTTGGTTAAAATTACAGATTGATTTAATAATAATAACAATATTCAGTCAATTTTGTGGCAGTCTATCAGAAATGTGTGTAAACATGTCTATAATAATTGCATTCTTTTTAATTATAGACAATAGCATATCTCCAAAACTGTAACTGCAATTTTTTTATTTTACCCAAGTCAGAGGATTAATTAAATAAATAATTGTAAAGGTAGTATAATATTGTTAAAGAATATATATAACAAATTTTGAAAGAAGAAGAATTGCTGAAGAAAATATTGACGATAAACGATAATAATAATAATTCATGCCACTGACACAAAAACTCAAACAGATTTATACCACAAAAACAATTCAAAATCTTAAATAATTGTTTAAAAAAATCATGAGCTGCAGTAAATAAATAGCACAATGTAACATTTAGTACATAGTTTGCATTGGTAATAAGTCAGAGAAGTAATTCATTTAACCTTCTATGGCTTAAATCTTACCTCTCTAAAAAAAATTCCCAGTAGTGCAAAGAAATTATACACACGATAAATATTGACCCCCAAAAACAAATGTTCCATCTGTCATGTATTGAATGATAAGTCGATAAACTAATTATCTTGGCGGGCCTAGTTTGTAGTCAATAATGGCTCATCATAAGTGGCATATTCTAAAAGATGTCAATTGGAGGTAACAGTTGTTATTAGGTAGCATGTTTTATGTAACAAAGCGATTGTTGATGACATCTCAAGCCTGCTACATAACAAATAATCACCCAAATGCATATTATGTAATAGCTATTAGCAAAAAAGAGGTTATCTGTTGTTGTTGTTACTATTTTTGGTCAATACACTGTACCTTGAAGTGCACTATGTAGCTTTTCTGGAGGAGTGTACGCTACCTCCTTGTCTCCATGACATTTAACATGCATATCTTAACTTTTTTTTTTAATTTGGGGATTTTTTTATCATTCAAAATACCTTGAAAAACCACACTCTTATTGGGAGCAGGGTAACCACTTCGTTGATGTGACCTGTAACTTGGCATGGTGTCCTGATTTGGAGAGAAATAAGTTAAATCTCCATGGGAACAAGCAGGAGGCAGACCGTCCACCAGAAAAATAAATATTGTAAAGAAAACTCAATTCATAAATCTTTTGTTGTATCTGTCAACATAGAGAGTATACCTACTCCAATACTGACTTCAAACATACCATGTAAAAACTTAACTTGGACTAGACCAGGATTACACCAAGACTGTAACAGAAGAACCAAACCAAGTCTACATCAAGACTAAACATACACATAACACAGATATTTCTTTAGAGGGGGTTCAGTTTTTGAAATACTTCTAGTTGCTTTTTTTTTTTCTATTTTACCCATCCCTAACCTCTGCTCATGTTACGTCCACAGGTGAACCGACCGCTCACTATGAAAAAGGAGGGGATTCAAACCCGCAACCGCAAAATGTCCAACAAGTCCAAGAAGTCCAAGCGCAGCAGCAGCGACAGCTACGACGACTTCACCAAGTCCATGCACCAACACCACGAGAAGAGCGCCCCCTTCGGCTCGCTGGCGGGACACGTGTCAATGGGCCACCACCACCATCTAGCCTCACCTTTCAGCCATACGGGACACATGCTACCTACCCCCACCCCCATACACCCCACGTTTGGACACCACTCCAACATGGTGACCGCGATGGGGTGAAAGATTGCCCCAGGGCACCCAAGGACGCATTTCAATAAGACTGTGTGCGTAGGGCTATGTTACAGAGGCCAGTGGCACTAAGGGGAGTCAGATGAATTCTCGGTGGGGCCTTCTCACTGCTAATGCTAATGTATGTTGGTAATTTACATTGAGTGGAGCGGTGCAGGTCGGGTCAGTGTAGAGCTGTGCTGCTGCGGTAATGAAAGACGCATTTACAGGTGTAGGTTTCAATTGGATGCACTATAAAGTTTGTATATGAACATTGGAATAGTTTGAGTCCAGGATGTTTGTCTTGGTTTGAGTAGAAGGCCAAAATAACTGGCTTGTTTCAAAGTATTTCTGAAAATGAATGTTTCAATATTTATAGATGACTATTTATTTAAAGAGTATGCAGCTAGCAATTGAACCAATGTTTTGCTCATTCACATTGTCTTTTGAAATGCAAACCTCAAATTTGGGCACAAGATGTTCTGCAATACTTTGTAAATTAAACCAGGACTGAGCGATTTTCAAAATATCTAATCACATTTTTGAATTACAGTGCAATTGTAACAAGATTTGCAATTCCTAATTTAAAATCAAGATTCACATTTTGGAGCACTAACAATTTAAAGAGAACAATTCAATTATATTTGTTTACATGAATTCCATTTTAGAACATGCAGTGGATAGTAGATGTCTAAACTACAAAGTCAGCAGCATTTAAGACCCCATGGAGACAGGATATTTTTGCAGTTTTGATGATTTTAACAATTCAAATTATGATTTTTGAATACAATAAAATCTTGAAACCGTAATTGAAACTTGCCTATACTGACCTGCCCCATATTGTACCACTCCACTCCAAGATGCCCTTATTTGGTACCTACTCTATTGAAAAGGAAGTGTCCATGCTTCCTGGTCAGGCACATGTACTTTATGTAAAAAAAGACTATTGCACGTCTTTACTCTGCTCCTCACTGTTGGCTTGGTTTCGGGGTTCAGTGAGGCTTATATGTAGAAGTGGGAGATGTATGATCAAAAATAAATAATACCACAGTTATGGTTTTGAAGATGCAAAAGTAGACTATAATCAAAACTAAAGAGCTAATTAAAATAAAAACACAAACTTCCAAACAAGGGTATTACTGGGTTTCAGATGACGTTGCAAAATTCTATGGAGCAATATTATTTAATACAGATGGAGGGCAGCTAAAGTTATTGTTATTAAAATCCAAAACAATCGCTAATAGAAATGATCAGTCTTTAAAAAGAACCTAAGAAGTTAAAGTATATAAGAAGACAAAATGTAACATCATTGGCTTAGAAATGATCAGGTTCAACATTTATGACTTTATATTTCATGGCAAAATACAAGGCTATCAATAGGAAAATCTGGGTGTTGTATGAACATAGATATGAAATCACATTGTAGAATCTGAAAATCACCAATGGGATGAGATTTCTGCACTTCAGTGAATCATTTTATCATCCATTCACGTTCTGTGCGATACTTGAACCACATTTCTGATTGATTGCCGTAATATTGTCAAAAAATTGTCATAAGGATTATTATAAAATCTATTATTCATTTTTGTCAATATCGCCCATCTCTTATATGTGCCGAACAAGTTTGTAATGACTGTGAATATTGTAAATAAGTGAAACTATAGGGGACAGAGCTATCCCTCACTGCTAAAATATGCTGGATTTTTTGCTTATATGGACAATTTTAAAGGAAATTGATACTATGAACCCAAGCAAACGAGTCCTAATTTGGCACTGTTTATTATTATATATAATTATTGTTACTGAGATAATTTATTTTCACTGCCTTGTACTTTACTTTATCAAACCAATCACTAAATACTGCTATACTACTTCTGAGTATATTTTTAGCTGAAGTGCTTTCTCTGGTCAACATTTATACTTGTCCAAATAAATATAAACTAAAACAATGATGGTTATGGTTTGCTTATTTTGTTTGAGTTCAGTTTTGGACCTTAGTTCCAATGGGAAATGCTAAACTCATATCGGTTCATACATTTCTTCAACAGTAATTTATTTATTTAAGGAACTGTTCTTATACTTTTGATAAATGGTACATGGTCACATTTTTATATAGTGGTTTTCCACCTTCAAGGCGCTTTACATCAAGGAACCGCACTCACTCATTCACACACCAATGTATGCAGAGACTGGGGATGTGATGAGTTAAGTGTCTTGCCCAAGAACACAATGACAGTATTCATCTGACCACTCTACCAATACATTTGAGAGAAGGATTCGAACCAACAACCTTAAGATCAGTGTACATACAAACAATTCAATAGAAGAAGTGGTTCTTTCTACATATGGAGGAAGGACCATGAAGCACTGACACAACTTCTCTTCACCACCATCAAAAGATATTGCCAATCTATACCACCCATCCATCCATTTTCTTCCACTTATCTGGGGCCAGGTCGTGGGGGCAGCAGCCTATGCAGGGACTCCCAGACTTCCTTCACTCCAGACATTTCCTCCAGCTCCTCTGGAGGGACCCCAAGGTGTTCCCAGACCAGCCGAGAGACATAGTCCCTCCAGTGTGTCTTGGGTCTTTCTCGGTGGGACATGCCCGAAACACCTCCAGAGGGAGGCACCCAGGAGGCATCCAAAACAGATGCCCAAGCCACCTCAGCTGGCTCCTTCCGACGTGGAGGAGCAGCGCCTTATGGCTCAGCTCCCTCTTCACCACAATGGTTCGATACAGCGACCATGTCACTGCAGGCACTGCATCAATCTATACATTTAGCAAATATAGTTTCCCTGTAGCAAAAATATCTGACAAGCTGTTATGGTTAACCACTCTGTCATTAATGAAGTAGGTTATAGTTAAAAAATATATATTTGGCATCATAATAAAGTATAGTATAGTCAGCCAATCACAGTGGTTGATTCACATCTCAACCAGCTACCTGTCAAAGAAGATTTTATATAACACATAAAGGTCTTCCTCTGTCCCATCAGCCACTTCAGCTTCTCCATCCTCTTTACCAGCACCACTGTCTGTAGAAGCTCTCCCTTCACAGTGCTGACATGTCTACCACCAAAATGTACTGAATTTTCCTGCTTGTAGCACTGTACATGTTTACAGAGATACTGATTTTGTTTCATACTCAAAAAGATAAGACTCCAAGGTTCAGAGTTCAAATCTAATCACACTTATGTTTTGATTACTGTACTTAAGTTCGTGTGTGTCAGCAACCAGTCTAAAGTAAATAAATAAATAAATACAACAGATTAGAAAAGAAAAACATTTGGGGACAGTGAACGCCTCATGACCTACAATAAAAATAGCCTCAGTTGCATTTATACTAGGGTTGTCCAAAACGAGAAAAGATTTTCATTGTTTTCACATGTGGTAAAAAATATTATTCTGATATTTTAATTTAGTTTTTGGCACAATCAGTTCAGTGAAGAGAAAAAAACATTGCCTGCGGTCCAGAATATACACCTCTTCAGTACTTTACAAAGATGTGAGTATGGTGAATCTCCCAAACGTTAGACAAATATGACGAGAAACATACGAAAATAAATAATAGGGGAATTGCAGATGAGTGAAGCACTAAACACTGTTTTCTGAAAAAAAAAAAAGTTTTTCGTTTGTAAAGGATAGATGACCAACGAGTCACTGAAAAAAAAGTAATCTGATTGCATAATTATGTTGTGACCAGACTGAAACCATCTGTATGGGTTTTCCAGACAAGGTCAAAATAAAAACTTAAAAGACTAAACTAGGACCAATCCAATATGATCGTAATAATCCAGGATCACTCAAACATGTGTGAATGAAACAAAACATAACTCCAGGTATGTGTTTGATGAGGTAACAGCATTATAACATGACTTAAAGAGTAAAGTTTCAGTAATATAGGACCTTTAATAAGGAATATCAAAAATAAAACAAAAGTATTTTGTCCATTTACTTTTTTTTTTATGGAGGCATTTGTATTATTGTGATATATTTATATTTATTTTAGCCAATACTCATTTACGTTTTACGTTTTTGAGCGATACATTGACGAGCCCTAATTTGCACCTTTATTTTCATCATGGCCATTCTGATTACCTCACTATAGTTTTGTAATCTCTTATACCCCCTGGAGTCGTGTAACAGTGAAACGGGGGACAGTGTCATAAGAGGCTGTAGCTGTGGCAGATGTGATTCCTCATGTTTAGAGAACATCAAAAACATCTTAATCTCCTCCTTTGCTCTGAAGGACCAGCCTGACAGAAAGAGAGAGAGAACCAGGAACTCAACTGTTTTTAGCAGAAATAAATTGAACAAATGCTCTAGATGTGATAAGGATAATGAGTTATGGAAGCATCTCTTGACATCATTTTTGAGAAGATGTCAACATAATGAAACTGTTACTTTAAGGTCACTTGCTTATGTCACTGAAAACCCTACGCTATCTATCTACACAACTGATGTCATTCATAAAAAAGAATCACAATTTCAGTTTTATTTCTATTATGAATATGTAGAAAAAAAATAAAATAAATATATATATATATATATGTGTGTGTGTGTGTGTGTGTATATATATATATATTTATTTATTTATTTATTGAAATTTAATTGTGTGAATAATTAATCAAACATTAAAGTGCTGTACCAAATTTTTACTGTCTTAAAGCAGACTTATTATGCAAAATCGACTTTTCAGAGTGAATGAATGGTGCTTGTTTGAGCCATTTTTCATCACACCAATCCCTGATTTCACCACACAAAAAAATCTTCTGTTCGCTGGCCTGATGTGCAGCTGTCTATATTAGGAACTGACAACTACACAGCTCTTTGTTGTGATGACATTTATCGCATTAACACATTAATCTTTTTAATCTGGCCCGCCAAACTTGAATAATAATAATAATTTTAAACATATATTTTTGTTTTAAAAGTAATTTCAATAAATAGTAAATACCGTGAGACTTGAAAGACAGATATTTTGTTGTAATGCTTTGTAATGATTTTCAATTATGGGATATTTCAATGAAATGGAATATGTTTTCTACATATCCCATGTTTTTTCTCTTATGAGGTGGATTACCAAAACCCTCCATCCATCTGCTCCTGGTCTAGCCCTTCCATCAAATTTTAGAACACTTTGTGGCCCACAAGTCAAAAATTTTGCCCACCCGTGTTTTAGGTGAACTTAAAATGTGCAAATTATAACAAAATGATCCACGGGTGCCATAGATTATAACTATATCACAGACATAAGCACAATATGTCTTCTTTACAAAACGTGAAAAACAAAACTAGTTCATATTAAATGGTCTGCAGTAGTGAGTTATTCCTCACTTACCTTATGCATTCTGAACATCAAGATTATTCACTGTAATGAGTTCAAGTACTTTTCACAACTCTGAGAGACCAGTGAGTTTTGCCTTGACAGTAAAGTTAACAACATCTAGCATTCTAACATACACTTCCTGATTACGAGACCAACCAAAAAAAAAAACAAAAAAAAACATCCAGACAGTACACAGTGAATGTATTTTAAGCTCAAGATTTGCTTATACAAAATATTTCTAGGGCAAGACACGTTTTGCTCAAATACATGTGAAAAAATCTACAGACCTTTTATACAAAACAAAAACAAATAAATTATTAAATGAACTTTCCTACAACTCTGCTTATTACAGTGCTAATTTTGTACATTTGAACCCACACAATTGCATACATATTTCCATACTGTCATCAGAAGTAGCGTCTCTGTTTATGTCCTTAGGCAGTGCTTGGGCTGAATTTTCATGACACGGGTCATTCCAAGTGCAGCCTGCAGCCTCCTCTCTCCTCTCCTTTGACCTTTGAACCTGGAAGCACTTACCCTGTCACTCACTCAGCCCTCCCACTGAGCATTTAAAGCACCACGTCCTCCCTAACAATATTGCAGCGCACTAAACTCCAATAAAGTCCAATAAAACATGAGATAAAGGCCCTAGCTAAGTGCTGTTAGCGGGTGGGCACGCTAAATCAGCCGCAGCTAGCTAACTAACAGTGAGATTTACGACTTCTACCTTTGTGCGTTAGGCAAGGACGTAAATTGTTTGTTTTTGTTGCAAATTTAATTAAAGGGATTGAAAAAAATGTCAGGGAAAAGTTGAAAGGAGAGAGGGTGATAAAACACATCAAAGACCCAAGTTTACCGATTAGGAAAAAGATCAGGAACTGAGCAATATGCTAATACAAACTTTTGAAGGCAATTTATAGAGTTTGAGATAAGCAGGTATTAAAGGAGCATTATGTAACTTTTTCCTTCCCGTGATGCTATTGCTTTGCATAGACTGTTCCGTGGTATGTAGGGTGACCAGGCAGTACCTATTTATTTAGGATAGGCCCAGGTTTGAGTGTCCCCTGTCCCAGCAGATTGATACAAAACCAGTGAAAATGACACCAACAGAAGTCCCGCAGATTATGACTGACCTACAAAATTAATCGAGAATGGAAAATGTTACGTGCTCTTTACACAGTTTTATTTAGACTGACCATCCCAATCCGGGTGTGTCCCAGTTTTTAATTCTGGTCACCCTAATGGTATGGTATTTAACATCGCGGTGAAACACCAAGTCAAGACCAAGATACATATCAGATCTATAAAAGCAACTCCACTCACAGCAACAATGCATTATTAAAGAATTAAAATACCTGTACAAGTTTTCTCCAAACCCAAATATTAACCTGAGCTTAAATTAGACCCTACTATGTACTGTAACTGTTAATATTTGTCTTTTTCATTCATCTTTCAGTGTCCTGCAGCTGAAGTGCTGCCTGTGTGTATGCGTTAAGTTAACTGTTGAAAGCAGTGCAGCAAAGTGGAGAGTCTGTCATCTGCTTCTCT